AGGCTGAGCGTTAAAGAATTGATGCTTTTGAACTGTGGTGTTGGAGAAGACTCTTGAGAGTCCCCTTGGACTGCAAGAAGATCAAACCAGTCAATCCCAAAGGAAATCAGTCCTAAATATTCATTGGAAGGACTGACGCTGAAGCTGAGATTCCAATACTTTGGCCACCTGATGCGAAGAACTGACTCATTGGAAAAGACCCTGATGCTGGGAAAGATTGAAGGCAGGGGGAGAAGGGGACGACAGAGGATGAGATGGTTGGATGGCATCACCAACTTGATGGACATGAGTTTGAGCAAGCTCTGGAGTTGCTGATGGACAGGGAGGCCTGGCATGCTGCAGTCCATGGGGTTGTAAAGAGTCGGACATGACTGAACAACTGAACTGAACTGAACTCCTTATAAACCACCTTAGATACCCTGTGCAATGTGGTTGGGATGAAAGGAAGGAATGAAGAAGGAAGGGAGAAGCCAGAGATGGCAGGCAGGAAGGAAAGTTAGAAGAAAGGATTCACAGCACAAGACTTTGAAGTCGTTCCTTGTAATGTTCAGTTCTTAGATGAATGTTAATTGGCATGTATTTTCATCAGATACAATGTTTTTTTCAGGTTCTCCCTGCCTGCTCAGGGTTTGTTTTACATCTGACTGGCATTAAGCCTTTAGCTATTATCACTGGTGTGACTGTGAGTTTTCGTAAATGATGCCACTTGAGGGTTGTCACGGGCCCTGGTTCACGTTGCCATCTGATAACTCCGAGAGTCAGTTCTTCATCATCTATGTGGAGATTGGGCACTTTGTTTTTTGGCAGCAAATGTTTCATCCAAGGTCAATTTCCCTCAAGTGCTCAGCACCATTTCAGACAGTGTGTGCCCAGGGAATGCAAATTAATTTAATGTTAGCTTTAGCCAAATCCAGCTAGGAAAGCCAACCTGCTTTTAAAAACACTATAAACGTTGATAAACATCATCTAAATTATATGATGTTTGAATATGTAGAAACATATAAAATTTCACCTTAATTCCAAAGGCATCATTCCATAGCACTTTAAATTCATCTTAGACTTATTTTTGTTCTTTGATTAGAAGTACATTTCAAGTTAAAATTATTTACATATATTTGTCATTATATTTTATTATAACTGGGGGTTATCAGAATAGGTGGAGGATACATGTGTGTTTTTTTTTAAAGTCACTCAGTCATGTCTGACTCTTTGCGACCCCATGGACTATACAGTCCATGGAATTCTCCAGGCCAAAATACTAGAATGGGTTGCCTTTCCCTTCTCCAGGGGATCTTCCCAACCCAGGGATCAAACCCAGGTCTCCTGGTATTGCAGGCAGATTCTTTAGCAGCTGAGCCACAAGGGAAGCCCAAGTATACTGGAGTGGGTAGCCTATCCCTTCTCCAGCGGATCTTCCCAACCCAGGAATAGAACCAGATATGTGTTTTATGTTTTTGTTCAATTATAAAAATGCAACACACATTAGTAATAGGAAATGAGGAAATATAGAAAACTCTAGAGGAAATGAAACCATTTATAATCCTTTACACAGAAATAATCATGATTAACATTTCATTATATTGTTCTCCACACATTCTTGAGGTTGTAGGAGTTCTCAAGATGGATTTGTAGACTGTTCCCAGGAAAGAAAAAAAATTAGAGTGTTTTTTTTGGAGTTCCAAAGGTACACCTGGAGTTATGTCCACACTCAACAGGCTCTCCTGCCTGGAAGAAAGCAGGCAGTGGACCCAGGGAGCCCACCAGTTCCGCTGGTCTGAAAGGAGGCATCATGTGCTTTCTTCCTCCACCGCGTCTACCTTTGCTTTCCATCAGGGCTGAGAAAGACCAGAGCCCTCCAGACCATGACGTCTGTCCAGGCTGGATTCAAGCAGTTGACGGCGTCTGGCTTTCCAAACATGTCCAGAAATCTCAGGGCAATTGCAGCCCATTGTGTGACAGAACTGGGGCGGGCAGGGCTGTCCAACCCCGTGGCCACAATGTCTATGACTGAACTTGCTCCATGCCTTTTCTTTTTTAAAAAAAGCTGATTTGTTTGTTTATTTTTGGCTGTGCTGGGTCTTCATTGCTGTGCGGGCCTTTCCTCTAGTTGCGGTGACCAAGGGCCCCTCTCCAGTTGCAGTGACGGGCTCCTCATTGCAGTGACTTCTCTTGCTGCAGAACATGGGCTCCCGGGTGCGTGGGCTTCCGTGGCTGCAGCCCCCTGGCTCTAGTGCACAAGTGAAATAGTTGTGGCTCACGGGCTTAGTTGCTTTGAGGCACGTGGGATCTTCCTGGATCAGGACTGAATCCATGTCTCCTGCATTGGCAGGCGGATTCTTTACCACTGAGCCTCCAGGGAAGCCCTGTTCCATGTCTTTTAGAATGCTTCCTGCTTCTATTTTGTTTACCTCAAAGCGTTATTTGGTCAGTGTTTTTCATCCTCATCCATGTCTTCCTTTTCCTGGAACTCTAGTCCTGTTCCTTGGAGGACTCTCCCCCAAATTCCCCACTCTGATCATGAGGTCTGATTGTGGACCCTCAGTCACTGCTCCCTGCTCCCCATGATAGGGTGAGTGTGGGACCCCAGTTTGGCCAACCAGAGACGTCCCCTGGGTTTTAAAATGAGAACCGAGACACTAGGAGACCTTCCTTCTGATAGCAAAACTGGGAAGACACGGGCTCAGGACTTCAGTGTCTGGGTCCCATGATGTGTGGAAGATGGAGCCTGCTGCAAGAAGAGTTAATTCAGTTGTCAGAGGGAGGTGGGCAAGCAGAGATGATGGGGGGAGAGAGAGGAGAGTTAGGAGAGGCACTCACTGGAGGCCTAGTCTTTGTTTGAATCCTCCAGGCCCCCTGGATTCTGTTTCCAGATTGTGGTTTTCCTCTTCTTTCCTTTCTTTTATAACCTGCACTAGGAATTTCCCCTACAAATGAATTCTGAGTTGGTTTTCTGTCATTTGCAACCAGAAGAACCCAGAGCAATAGCAGCAGACCCCACCTCCCCGGCCCTCCTCCGTGCCCTGGACTCTGCAGGCCTCTGGCTGCTGCATTGTCTGGAATTCTCGGCCTCTCCCTGCCTCAAAAGCCCAAGTCCTTAAAATAGTCCACCCCTTTCTCCTTCTTCAGGGCAATCTCTGATTCACTGCAGCAGACAGCAGTTCTGATTTAGCTGATGTCTGTTCTTCAAGAGTTTCTTCAAAGATTTCCCAGTTGGTGGAACTTGCCAGAAGGGAGGCCTTCTTGACCTACTTTGCTCCAGACTCTCGTTTGGGGAATTGCACCCAGAAATGGAATTATTTAGCTTATCACCTGGACTCTCCTCGCCCGCTCATCCAGCCCTCGTCTTTGCTGAAGTTCCTCAAACCACAGGGCTCAGCCCCAACACACAAGGCATTTTCTTTCACAATTCCACAGGGGAATCAGCTGTCTTCCATGACACTGTCCTTCAAGCTGACTGCTGAGCTTTTTTAACTTTTAATATTATTTTGCAATGGCGAAATGGCAAGAGAGTCACTTTCTTTGAGAGAGGTGACAGATGGCATAGTTTAAAATAAGTGAATGAGTCTAATCAAAATCCAGTAAACACAATGTTGGTAGAAGGGTATAAAACCATTCGTATCCTATAACAGTATAATCCATATTAATTCTGGACTTGCTGTCTTTTCTGAATCAGACTTGAATTTGCAGTGAAGGATGGGGGTGGTTTACCCTGTAAGTAATCTGTAGCACCTGCCGTGTGCCAAGCACTGCGCTGGGCTCAGTGACTGTCCGTCACTACGAGAGAACCTTATTTACACTCTGTCTGATTGACTGCCCAATAAGCTGTTTCTGCACGTTGTCATTTTCCTAGGAAAGGCCTCTGCTGAAAACGCTCTCTAGCATTTCCTGCTAAAGGCCAAGCATAAACTCCACATCGCGTTATGAATTTGAGATCCACCAGGGCTCAAAAATAGATGGGCCTTGTGCCTCTTCTTTGCAACCTGAACTTCCCATGGCAGCCAGCCGCATCTGAATGAGGTCGGAGAGGCTGCTGAGCCCTGCCAAAAGGCACTCCGCTCGGCCGACAAAACAGCGTCCCCCTGCCGTTCTTCTTCCTGACAGCTATCTATTTTGAACTCCTTCTAGAGAACGCAGTGACAGTTCCAGCCTTGATCTTTGGCTCAGTTCCCGGGGAGACCTTCTCATGCCATGTTTTATTCATGGTGTCTCCCAGGCTGTCTTCTTCATTGTAAAACTCAGTGGTGGGGGGGTGAGGGAGGAGGGACAATCAATGAACCTGAAATAAAATTTGAGTGTCATAATAAAACTATCCCTTTGTGTACAAAAAGCCCACAACCAGAGTCTGAGATGCTGGGGAAGGTATGTGTATGGAGGATGTTTAAGGCAAAGCATCTATAGAAGGAAAAAAACAGTTATTCACACTGCACTGGAGTCGTGAAGGAAGTAGGTCAGATAAACCAAAATAACCTTTGCTGGGAAAGGTGATAAGCCTCAGACATCTGAGACCATGGAGGGTAAAGATGCTGCAATGGATAAAAGCAGAAGGCTGATAGATGTGCAGGCCTACACACAGGAAAAGCTACGAAGAATATATAGAGCAAACATTTATTCTACCTTCTCCCAAGAAATCTCTTCTCCATCAACACCGTCATTGTCTTTCCTGTACCAATTGCATATCTTTCTACGTCACTGGTTAGCAATTTGTAGAAGAATGTATCAGAAGCATCTCTTCCACCTGCCCCAACCACCCCAAACAAAACAAAACAAAAACAAAAACAAACCCCAAAACAACAGCCAAGTATGACAGAGGGAGAAGGAAATGGCAACCCACTCTGGCATTCTGGCTTGGAGAATCCCGTGGACAGAGGAGCCTGGCTGGCTGCTGTCCTTGGGGCTGCAAAGCGCTGGACATGCCTGAGTGATGGAGCACTCACTCAAGTGCGACAGAGGGCAGAGGCCGCGCGCCGCCTCGCAATGGCGGAGGAGTGACGCGTGCTCACCTTGAGGGTGACGGTCCTCTCGCGGCGGGTGATGTTAACGCTGTGGGGCTGGCCGTTGGCTGTGCTCCGGTGGTCCACATCAATGTCATAGGGCTCCCGGGTGCCACCCAGGTTGTACCGGATCTGGAGGCTTCCTGCATAGAGGGGAGGAAAGAGACTCAGTCATTTCTCTGCTCTGGATTTCATATTAACGTCATGCCCCCAGCCCTGGGGGCTTGTCTCCATTAAACATGGCTTCGATATCCATCAATACGATCGCCGTTCTGCATTCTGAGCCACCAGCTCAGAGGTGCAGTAATCCATAAAGGTTCATGGCACCAGGCTCACATATGTTGACAGTCTACCAATTATGGGCCATCCGTGACCATCATCTCCAAACTGAAGCAGCAAACGGTATAAACGATCCACATGTGGAGTGTGTCTGGGAAGGCAGGATGAGAACATATACACCATACAGGACCGTGGAGACAGGCCCCACAGAATACTCTGTAAAATAAAATATAAATGCAGGATGCTAGGATGGTCTCATGCCATCAGCAAAGTGGGACATTTGCCATAGAAAAGAATCATGAGCACAGAGTATTAAAAATAAACATAATTTACAAAAGATAAATACATGGCGCTTTGGGTGGCTTCACTGAGACCAAGGAAACAGAGCAAAGGATTTTATTCTAGGTTAGAGACCTCATCAATCCAAACGCAAATCAATAAAAAGATGGGTCCTCACTGCCTCTCAGCTGTTGTGCACTTTGCCTCAACAAATTTTTCTTTTTATCCTCTTTCTTGCTTCCCCCTGATGACAAGCAATATTCAGAGAGACCAATATAATATTCTAGGTCCTGCTTTTAATTAATCTGTACAGCAAATGTAGCTTTTATTTCTTATTTATGATTATTTAAAGGCATCAACTTTTTATCTCATATTTCCACTCAAATTGGAATCTTCGTGTTAATAGCTTTTGACATCTCAGAGCTTAAAAATGGAGCCAGTAATTTAGCAAGAGTGTGGCTAACTGTAAATCACCTCAGAGACTCTTCCTTGCCTCTTTTGTTTTCCTTCCAGAGGAACAGAACTAATATTCTGATTTTAAGTTGTGAAACAGCACATGGTAATTAAAACCTAGGAAGTGAACAGAAAAGTAAAGAAGAAAGTCACTGGGAACGCCACCATCCAGAGATAGCTACTCTAAATATTTGGCCAGATCTCCTTTCAGGTGACCTGAAAGGAGACCCTTATATGGATGTGACAGTGAAAATTGAAAGTGAAGTCGCTCAGTCGTGTCCGACTCTTTGAGACCCCATGGACTGTAGCCTACCAGGCTCCTCTGTCCATGGGGTTTTCCAGGCAAGAGTATTGGAGTGGGTTGCCATTTCCTTCTCCAGGGGATCTTCCTGACCCAGGGATTGAACCCAGGTCTCCTGCATTGGAGGCAGACTCTTCACCATCTGAGCCACCAGGGAAGTCTCTTATATGGATGTAAACCAATGCAATTGATTCTGAACACTGCCTTTCCTTAGCATTACGTGTGTTCTTTAAAATATGGAACTATGTCCCTGGAATTGAAAGAAACATCCATCAGACCAATCATGAATTACTTGCATTTCCCCCTTTTTTTTTTTTTTTTGCTTTCTGAACAAATCTGACAAGCCTTCACTATTTCTGAGTTTTTTCTTAACCCCTGACCCTAGATTGCTTTATAGCATTTCAACCAAGTAACTGCAGACTTCTGTTTCCTAAACGTGTCTAAGCTCACCCACTCTGCCCCATCTCCACAGCCACAGGGCCTCCGCGGGCACCTAGAACGCCTGGTGTGGTTCCCTCGGGAGTCTGCCCCTCCATGCAGAGCTCCCGCCCCGACCCTGGGCCTCTGTGCCGGCCACTCCCCTGATGGCCATCACCTGGACTTCCCCTGCAGCCGCTTCTGCCTGGACCACGTGGCCACTCTTCACCCCACTTCACTCTCAGGCAAGCCCCTGTTTCTCTGCTCTCTTGCTACTCATCCATTAACGGAGATGTCTCACTGGAACCTCAGCTAACAACATACGAGAAACCAAACTCTTGAACATTCTCTCCTAAAACGATTTCAACACAATTTCCCCACATTTCAGTTAATGGATATGTTATCCTTCCTGCTATTTCTGCCTAAAAACCCTGACTCCCCTCTTGCTCCTGTATTACACATATGATCTGTCAGCAAAGCTCCTTCACTCTGTCTTCAAAACATGCCCTGAATCTTACCTTTTTCATCACCTCCGTGTCTATCCCTGGACCAAGCCACCCTTTTCTTCTGCCTGGATTACTGTACTAGCCTTCATACTAACTAACCTGCTTGCCTCTGCCCTTCCACCACGTCTCCCCAGCCCAGTCTAGTCTCCTAGTCTCCACCCCTAGTCTCCTCTGCACATGGAAGGCAGAGCTGTCCTCTGCTCAGGAACCTTCCTATCCCATAAAGAAGGCTGAGCACAAAAGAATTGATGCTTTCCAATTGTGGTGCTGGAGAAGACTCTTGAGAGTCCCTTGGTCTGCAAGGAGATCAAACCAGTCCATCCTAAAGGAAATCAACCCTGAATATTCACTGGAATGACTGATGCTGAAGCTGAAGCTCCAATACTGTGGCCACCTGATGAAAAGCGCCTACGCATTGGAAAAGACCCTCAAGCTGGAAAGATTGAAGGCAGGAGGCGAAGAGGGGCAACAGAGGATGAGATGGTTGGATGGCATCACTGACTCAACAGACATGAGTTTGAAAAAACTCCAGGAGATAGTGAAGGATGGGAGAACCTGGTGTATTACAGTCCAGGGGGTGCCAAAGAGTTGGAAACAGCTTAGTGACTGAACAACAACAACAATCTTACTCTGAGTCTTCATCCTGGCCAGCCAGGCCCTTCGTGATCATCCCCATTGTCTCTGACCCAGCCTCTCATTACTCTCCTCCTCGCTCACTCCTCACCTGACCACACAGGCCTCTCTGCTCTCTCCACGGATGCCAGCATGTTTCTGCCTCAGAGCCTCTGCACCTGCTGGTTCTTCTGCCCAGGCACTCATTTCCCAGCTATCTACTTGCATGGATGAGCCCTCACCCCCTTTAGATCTTGCTCAAATATTATCTTCTCAGTGATTATTTCTGTGGCTTCCTTATCAAAAGCACAACTTACCTACTGCTTTCCTTTTGCCAGCCCCCTCACTTTTCTGCTTTATTTTTCCCTCATGATAGTTCTTTCCATATAACATACTACAGACTGCACTTCATTTATTTATTGTCTGTCTTCTTCCGTTCAAATGTAAGTTCCACAAGAGTAAGAATTATTGTCGATATTGTTTTTTAAAAAAATATTTTACTCTTTATTTATTTATGTGGCTGTGCCAGGTCCTAGTTGCAGCATGTAGGGTCTAGTTTGCTGGCCAGGCATCAAACCTGGACCCCTGCATTGAGAGACTGGAGTCTTAGCCACTGGCCCACCAGGGAAGCCCCTGCTTATATTCTTCATGACTTAGTTGCCAGTGTCTAGAATAATGCCTGATATATAGTAGGTGCTGAATAAATACTCACTGAATGAATGAACGATGGTTCCCCTGCTTCTTCTTTCCCATGTTTTCTTTGCAGAGTAATCTTTTCAAAATGCCTAATTAATTAGTTGTCTGGTTCACATAAAGCTCTTCAAATGTTCCAGTTGCTTACAGGATAAAGACATACATATTTAATATAGCTGATGATGTCCTGACTGAAAGGTTGCCAGTTGCTTTGTTTTAAAATCAAGTCATTTACCTCCTCACTGTTTACAGTCAAGCTACCTTGCACTTGGCTTATTCCCTAGAAATTACAACTCTTCTCCCTTCCTCAGGACCTTTGAACATGCCACGCCTTTTTCCTGAGCTGCTTCTCATCCCACCACTCAGTGATTTACCCTAGTTCTTCTTTACTGAAATGGCGTTAAAAACAATCGATTGCTTGGCAGTGAAGGAGATGATTAGGAAAGCTGTGTGGCTCTATGCAGGGAAAAACAAGCCGACTGTCTTCAGTTTTTATTTTCCACTTTACTTCTGGTGCTCTGACTTTGTATGATCACACCCAGCTGTCCTTCCTTCTTTCTTTCTTTCTTTTTTTTTTTTACTGGTGACATTTAAATTTTTAATTGGATAATTGCTTTACAATGTTGTGTTGATTTCTGCCATATTTCAACATGAATCATCCACAGGCATACATACGTCCAACCGTCCCTCCCACTCCCCCACTCCATCCCACCCCCCCGACTCCATCCCACCCCCCACTCCCCCCACCCCCCTGACTCCATCCCAGCCCCCCACTCCCCCCCACCCCCCACTCCATCCCACCCCCCCGACTCCATCCCACCCCCCCGACTCCATCCCACCCCCCCACTCCCCCCCATCCCCCACTCCCTCCCACCCCCCCGACTCCCTCCCACTCTAGGTTGTCACAGGGCCCTGGGTTGACTCCCTATGTTAGACAGCAACTTCCCACTGGCTGTCTACTTTACATATAGTAGTGTATATGTTTGGAGAAGGCAATGGTATCCCACTCCAGCACTCTTGCCTGGAAAATCCCATGGACGGAGGAGCCTGGTAGGCTGTAGTCCATGGGGTTGGGAAGAGTCAGACACGGCTGAAGCGACTTAGCAGCAGCAGCAGCAGCAGCAGCAGCAGCGGTGTACATGCTTCAATGTTACATTCTCAATTCGTCCCACCCTTTCCTTCCCCTGCTGTGTCCACAAGTCTGTTCTCTATATCTGCATCTCTGTTGCTGCCAGGCAAATAGGTTCATCGGTACCATTTTTTAGACTCTCTCTCTCTCTCTCTCTCTCTCTCTATATATATATATATATATATATATATATATCTCCAGTTTTAAAAATATATAGCTGTATTCATTCATCATTTAAATATTCATTTCTTTAGAATATACTTATTTAGTGCCCTGTGCAAAGCACCATGGAACCAAGTTTTCAAGGTCCAGAAGTGGACTGCCTGCCTGGTTATAAGTGTGATGTCCACTTCTAAGACAGACACCCACCTCTCACCCTTAGTATAGTCCAGGTCGTGCCTGGTCTGCGGATACAAACAGAAGTAAGAGAGGGCTCCACCTTTAAGGCTAAAAGTCAGAGGGACCAGTAATTATGCCAAAAAAAAAAAAAGAAAAAGACAAAAGACAAAACAACAAAACCCTAGACATTTTTCTCACTACTGTCTCTTTGTCATTGATCCCTTTATGTTTTCCAGCTCATTAAAATCAGTATTAAGTTGTTTTCGTTATTTTCTCTCTTTTCTGGCTTTCTTGGACTTTGTAAAAATGATTTAAAATTTCTCTAACTGCTTCGCTTAATGGCATTAGAAATGACTTGCTTTGGGGAAAAAGATGAGTTGGACCTTAAAATTTATATATAGTGAACATCTATAAACAGGAATGGCAATATTCTGGAATAATAAAATTTAAATAATATATTTATTTCTTTCAAATAATAGCACAAGAGACCCACTAAATGATGGGAAGGAGAATATTAATATTTGTTCATTAAAATAAAATATTATTAAGATGGAGAGACACTTCACTTCCTGCAGCTCACGTTTATCTCCTGAGTGAATTAAAGCAGTTATAAGGGACTGCTCTTTTATTGGCTGCAGCAAATAATGTGCTTAACAGATTTATTCTCTCCTGGCCATCATCATTGCCATCAGCAAACACTCACAGAGCACCTGCTGAAGGCAGGAGACAGAGTGCGGGGCCTTTCATCCTGCTGGGAAGACAGGATGTATTTATAAGGGAGACGGGTAACCACACAGAGCACTAAAAGCCAAACAAATGACAGTGGAAGTAAGTGTGATAGGAGTTGAAAGGAAGCGGCAGTCATTGCAAGGATGTGAGACTTGATCTGGGTCCAGAATAAAAGGCAGGTATGAAGTTACAGAGGAAGATGGAGCTTTTCCAGACAAGGGAAATGGAGTGGGCACCTGGGCAGACGTCCTTGGGGTGCTTGGGGAGTAGAGAGTTCCCGGAAAAGGAAGTGTAGGGGTGTGTGGCCTCAATATGTGGGAAACTGTAGACTCCATCAGTGGGCTCTGGATAATTACTGCTAACACACACACACAGACATGCACGTGTGTGTATTATTGTTGTTGTTCAGTGGTTAAGTCATATCCATGGACTTGAGTTGCCACCCTATGGACTGCAGCACGCCAGGCTTCCCTGTCCTTCACTATCTCCTAGCGTTTGCTCAAACTCTTGTCCATTGAGTCAATGATACCATCCAACCATCTCATCCCCTGTCGTCCCCTTCTCCTCTTGCCCTCAATCTTCCTTAGCATCAGGGCCTTTTTCCAATGAGTCGGCTCTTCCCATCAGGTGGCCAAAGTATTAGAGTGTCAGCTATAGCATCAGTCCTTCCAATGAACATTCAGGGTTGACTTCCTTTAGGATCGACTATACACATGTGTGTACAGTGCATTACACTCACTAACTCATTTGACTTTCACAGCACTGCTCTGGGGGAGTCATTGTGTTGCAGAGGAAGAAACCGAGGCTCGGTGTGGTTCATGATTGCTCCAGACCCCACAGTCTGCAAACACAGGAGCAGAAATCAAATCCAGACATTCTGGTTCTGCACCCTGAGCTCTCACCCGGGAGCCTGGTAGGTCCTGATGGAAGGTGGTGGGACTAGGGACCCCTCCTGCAGCTCCTGGCTGTTTAGTAGGGGTGCTGTGTGTGAAGGAAGGCCTTTTCTGGCTGAGGAGGATGGGGTGATGGGGAGCAGAGTGATGGTGGGAACGGAGCCTCCTGGGGACGTGCTGAGGTGCACCTACCCCCAGGAGGGGCCCCGGGGTGCCAGCAGCAGGCTCCCCTCAGGCCTTGGCAGACTTGCAGGAGGAGAGGGCGGCTGGAGCCCCTGGGCGGGTGGCCTCCCAAACACAACCTCATCCGTCTGCCCAGGTGCCATTCACATACAACATGCCATGTGTGCCACGACACAGGTCAGGAAGCACTGAATAGAAGACATTCGCCAGGAGGGAGCAGTGGGGAAGTGAAGGAGGGGCCACTTGGGAAGGACATGGTTAGAACAGGACCCACAGGACTTGTTGGGAATGGACCCACAGGAAGGGGAAGGACGGAGTGGTCATGATGACGCCAGGCTGTGTGTTTTGTGTCTTAGACGCGGCAGCACCGTCAGAACCAGGGGAGTGGGGAGGTTCCAAGAGCATTGAGGACAATGCAGCTCCCAACACATCAAGTTTGAGAGATGCCAGGGCATTTAGCTAGGACTTTTTATTTATTACTTTCTTTATCTTGGATATTTTGGCTTAGTCCTCATTGATTTCCTTTCCCTGAATGAGTTGCTCAAATTTTGTCTAGCTTCAAATCTCAATTCATAAAATATGCAGTATCTGGAGTGTGAAAAGCCAGATTTTCAGCAGCAATTGAGGATGGCTTTGCAATCACTAGAGAGAAGATGACTGTCTATACTGTGCAAATGCCCCATGTGTTCTAGAGATCTCTGCAGCAGAGAAAGAGCACTGGAGAACTCTGGGTCCAGGCTCAGGAACACCAGCTGGTTGTGCCATCACAGGCCAAGTGTGCAAAGCACTGAACCTCTCTGCACTCCACTCTGTCACCTGCAGAAAGAGGGTAGAATGGACTCTACCTTACACAGTGTGTGCTCTTGGGAATTCATGCATGTGAAACACTTAATACAGCTTCGGACTTCCTTACATGGGAGCCATTAGTATGGAAACATTAGTCAAAGCCTTTGCATGTGATGAATGCCCATAAACACACATGTGAGTGCTTGCAGGCGCTGGTGTAGGCTGTGGGGCAGTGAGTTACTGGAGAGAGTTGGGACCAGATGGGAACGTGGCAGAGAATACAGGAGCAGACTTGAGGAGCAGACAATACAGCATCTACTGGGGAGTCTTCATGACATTCCTGATGAGCTGGAGCTGACAGCCAGCCTCCTGCCCACCGAGGACAGGCTGGGACACAAGGGTGGAGAACATCAGTGGATTAAATAGCTATTTAATCTGATGCAGAAGAAAGAACATGTGAAATCCTGGGGAGCAGGAACTGCACAGTTTTCTGCTTCTTTACTTCCTGATTTTCCTTACTACTTTTTTCTGATGAGAACAGTGCCAGTTGCTTATTAAGAGCATTTGACATAGGTAGAAACTATTACCCGGGAGAAACAATTCAACTATTGCAACAGAGATACTTTGTGCTCATATTATTGTCTTTTTTTTCTATCCATCTTTTTACAGAGTTAAACCAATATTGGGGCTGCCCTGGTGGCCCAGATGGTTAAGAATCTGCCTGCAGTATGTGAGACCAGGGTTTTATCCCTAGGTAGGAAAGATCCTTTGGAGAAGGGCATGGCAACCCATTCCAGTATTCTTGTCTGGAGAGTTCCATGGACAGAGGAGCTTGGCTGATATTTTAGTCAAGGCTTTCTCATGCCTTTTTTTTTTGGTTTGACATAATATCATATGAAATTTTTTCCATCTCTTTACTTACTCTTCACAAATATTTTTCTTAACGGCTACATAGTATCCCATACACAGTGACTCCCTTTGACTAACCATTTTACTAAAATTGAACAAGGTCCTTACCAATTCTTACTATCATAAATAACATTATAAACTATGGTGAACATCTTCATGCTGAATCTTTGTCTGATTTTTGGCTTATTTCTTCAGAAATAATGTCTGAAAGGGAAAATCCTAAGGAACATTTTTTTTCCCACCTATCTTTTAAACCTAGTGGCTCAGCTGGTAAAGAGTATGCCTGCAAGGTGGGAGACCTGGGTTCAATCCCTGGGTTGGAAAGATTCCCCTGGAGAAGGGAAAGGCTATCCACTCCAGTATTCTGGCCTGGAGAATTCCATGGGCTGTATAGTCCATGGGGTCACAAAGAGTCAGACAGGACTGAGCGACTTTCACTTTCAAGCTGAACTGGGTTAATAAGAATGGTGGAGAGGGAGGTGGGAGGGGGGATCGGGATGGGGAATACATGTAATTCCATGGCTGATTCATGTCAATGTATGACAAAAGCTACTACAATATTGTAAAGTAATTAGCCTCCAACTAATTAAAAAAAAAAGAATCATTATTAGATCCCATGGAAGAAAGATCTTGGTATTTCAGATGCTAGGACCCTGGAATAGCTGTCCAGGGAGGCTACAGAGCTTTCATCGCCAAAGAGCAAGACCACAGAGAGGCAGCCTCCATGTCTATAACCTGTTCAATCTCCCTGGGAAATGAGAGACACGTGCTCCTTGATACACCTGAATATTTTCATTTGTTAAAAAGAGATCTTAAAGCTTCAAGGGTCTTAGAACTCCTGTTTCAGAGAGGAAACGGGTCCTGGGTGTTTGCTGTGTATGTGCCTTACAACCGCTTAGCCGTCTCCTAGAGCCGGACCACAAGCTCACTTGTCCCCTAACACTGAACGGCAGAAGGCTAGGGATCCTCGCCCTTACCGGTGGGTTTGACGAGTGCCGCCAGGAAGTCGGTGGTGAAGGAGCTGACGTAGAGGAGGATGCAGGGCGCCTTGGTGGTGCTGAAGCTGAAGCGGATCTCCTCGCCCGCCAGGTCCGCGGCTCCGTTCTGCGGGTCCGCGGAGTTCTCCGATCTGCCGCCCGACTCCCGGGCCCCGATCCCGGGGGCTTGGAAGTTATACCGCAGCCACATCCCCTCTTCAAAAAACGCACCCACGTCTGCCGAAAAGGAAAGAGGAAATGGCAAGATGAGGAGTCGGATGGCGACACTGCCTGCAACTTAACCTGGGCAGACGGTGAGCTCTGTCGTGGCCACCACGGCCCTTCCTGGAGGGTGGACCGACCCCAGGAGGGCGATCAGACCGGGAAAATGCCTAAGCAGATGGATGCTACTTCATCAATACGAACATGCTATGTAACAGAGTATAGCAATCTGTCACCTTAAAACTCTAATAGTAAAATTAAGGGACGTAAATCATACCAGAAAACAAACAAACAAAAACGACTTCACATTTAGTACTTAGACTAAATAACTAATTGAGGTTGAAGAGCGATGCTGAGAATAAAGTGAGACCTGGGTTCCATCACTGGGTCAGGAAGATCCCCTGGAGAAGGAAATGGCAACCCACTCCAGTACTCTTGCCTGGAGAATCCCATGGACAGAGGAGCCTGGCAGGTTATAGTCCATAAGGTCACAAAGAGTCGGACACGACTGAGCAACTAACACTTTGACTACTTTATTGTTAGGGAACTGTTGACCAAAACCACCTACCTTGGCCAGGCGCACCTGCCTGAGTTGTCTCACAACAGGAGGTCCCGATACAGAACACCACGCTGCCCCTGAAAACTAACCAGGCGGATTTGGTTGGGGGGCGGGATGTGAAAGAGGGAGGAGGCAAGCAGCCTCCCAGAGCCCTTCTTGCTGGAATCCACCTTGGCTGAGCGATGCACACACCGCCAGGAAGGACCCTCAGTCAGAACAAATATGGACCAAGCAAGATGACTGGCAAGAGACGACCTGGGAGTTCATTCACCCCATGACCATAAAACCGGAGACTGCAAGCCACGTGGCAGAGCGGTCCTCCTGGGTTCCCTGACCCTGCTTCTCTCTGCCCAGGTGCCCCTTCCCAGGAAAGTCCGCCTTGTCAGTATGTGCGTCTCGTCGGACAGTTCATTTCTGGGTGTTAGACGACAGCCCACTCTGGCCCCAGAAGGGGTCCCCCGTCCTGTAGCAGTATCACATGCACCACGAATTCAAGGCGCTCATGGGAAGAGATGGGAGTTGCTTTGGAGGTTCACCCAGGAAAGCCCCTGGTGGAACCCTGATGACGCCCTGGGAGGCTTTGGGTATCATATTCAAAACCACAAGATCTGAAATTACAGGGAACTGGGTTCAAATCCGATGCTGCCTTTAACTGCTTATACGGCCTTAGGAGAAGTCATTTAGCCAGCTTCTCTAGGCCTCAGTATTTTATATGTGAAAGTGTTAGTCGCTCAGTTGTGTCCGACTCTGCGACCCCATGGACTGTAGCTCGCCAGGCTCCTCTGTCCATGGAATTCTCCAGACAAGAATACTGGAGTGGGTAGCCATTCCCTTCAAACCCGAGTCTCCTGCATTGCAGGCAGATTCTTTACTGTCTGAGCCACAAGGGGAGCCCTTTATATGTGAAAGGGAGGTCATAACAGCCAGAATTACAAAAGATGAAGTAATCAGCACATAATTAATAGTACCTATTAGTATTATAACTAAGAAATTAGAAGAAAGGTCACTCATCCTTCATCAGTTTTTTTCTGTGGCCTAATCAATGCTAATTGGTTTTTACTCATTTCCTGGCAGACAAGCTCCTGCTGTAGTTTTCCACCTCCTAACTCCCTGTGAAAGGTTAGGGTCTGCCAGCAAGACTTGCTTGTCTTCACAGGCACTGTTTTACCACTCACTCTAGTGTGCCCTTTAAAAGCATTTCCCACACTTCCTTGCCCGTGGAACCCGCTATTCTTGTTAAGACTTGACATTCGACTAAATGAACACTTGTTTGGTTGCTTAGTCTTGTCCGACTCTTTGTGACCCCATGGACTGTAGCCCACTGGGCTCCTCTGTCCATGGGGTTTCCAAGACTAGAATACTGGAGTAGGTAAGCATTTCCTTCTCCAGGGGATCTTCCCAAACCAGGGATCGAGCCTGGGTCTCCTGCATTGTAGGTGGAACACTATACAGAAAGTATTTTGTGAAACTGCTCTACATTATAATTAAAAGGAGGGGACCCATTTTAAAAGGATTCTTTCCTCTGGGAATCTGGAAGTTTGTGGTTATGAAAGAAGCCTGGTACAGAGTTTACATGCTGCAGTGATTACACAGTGGTTGTGGGAGAAGCTTTGCTCTGCTACCGCCCAGCCGTATTAACTTGGTCAGTGGCTTGAAACACTCTAAGGCTCAGTTTCCTCCTCTGGAAAATGGGGCCTCATAGATTGTTGGAGGATTAAAGAACCCATGGATGACACTTAGCCTAGTGCCTGGAATATAAGACAGGGGTCCGATAAGGTTACTCAGTCATTTTACAAAGACAGGTTGCTGATGGGGCCCACACGGGGTCTCACTGATAAGATGGCTCATTATGTTGATCTCGCAAACAAAGAATAAAATCACAGGGATCCTTGAGACTGACCAAATTGCTCAAATGACATTCTGTTTTCTCACTGGTGCTTATCTCCTCAAAGCTGTGAGACCACTAGATTCCAGACCTCCGACTACGTGACCACAGGACTCAACTACAGGCTAAAAATTGTCCATCCCTTCAGAGAATTTTTCATTGGTGGGATACAAGAAGGACCCCCATCAAAAAAGGAGGACACTAGTTCTCCTTAAGGGCCAGTCACCCTCTCTTTTCCCTCTAGTAAATTTCCCTTTTCTTGCCTGATTGCCCGGCAAGCTCTCTATTTCTCTGCCCTCAACTTAAATAGTTACCAGTGTCTATTCAGGGCCACTTGATGCGAAGAACTGACTCATTAGAAAAGACCCTGATGCTGGGAAAGGTTGAAGGCAGGAGGAGAAGGGAACGACAGAGGATGAGATGGTTGAATGGCATCACCGACTCAATGGACATGAGTTTGAGTAAACTCTGGAGTTGCTGATGGACAGGGAGGCCTGGTGTGCTGCAGTCCATGGGTTCACAAAGAGTTGGACACGACTGAGTGACTGAACTGAACTGATTCAGGGCCACAGATGACACCTGACCCCCACCTCATCCGGAGATGCACTGCTGCAGGGGCTGCCCCGTCTTGCTCCCCTGAGCCGCGGTGCAGAACTCCGTTAACCACAAGCTCGGGCAGTCCTGTTCTCCTGGCTCTCCCATGAAGGGCTTTTTGCAAAGGTCTGTCTGTGTGTGCGTGTACACACGGGTGTGTGTGTGTATGTGTGTACGGAGGGTACTATTGGCATTTGGTGGGTGGGGGTGAAGCCTGCTGAGTGAATTGTGCATGTGGGACCGTCTTAGACAATCAAGAATTGTCCTGGGCAAAATGCTAAGAGGTGTCTTTGCTGGGAAACACTGGATCAACACATACTTGATCCACGTGGGTCACTGCACGCCTCGCCGGATGCAAAGATGTGGCTAATGCATGGACGCCCTTGAAGAGCCCTCTGTCTAGTGGGGGGAGTGGAGACATGTCGACCCTTGTGAACACCGTGTGGTGAGAGTTCTGGGGCTCCACTTGGCAGGCTAGGTGAGAAGGACTCCTTCTTACTGCCTGGAGGCTCCAGCGCTGGCTTTTCTACTCTTAGCAAGTACCTACTGAGCCCCAGCCATGTGCCTGGCACCATGCCGGGCGTTGAGGTTACAACCCTTGCTCTTGAGGAGCTCTCCATCTAGAGGAGGATTTAGGCTAAGAGACATCACCAGACGGCAGTGTGCTCAGACAGGATCAGGCTGATATAGGAGGCATGTGGAACACTAGGGTTACCAGCTTTGTCTCCAGGGCTCCAGGAGGACTTCTTGGGTGAAAAGAACTTGAAAGAGCCAGAGGCTCTTCACCTTTGTGAAGGTGAAGAGGAAGATGAGCCCCTTTTTAGCTGAGGGTGCAGTATGCAAGAACCCTGGGGGGTCAGAGAGTCCACAACAGGAGCTTTGGGCCCCCAGGTGAAATTCACATGAGCTTAGCTTTTTTTTTTTTTCTCTTTAACAATATCACACTCATTAGGGTTAGGAATCCAAGACTCACCAGGCTTCCTACATTTCGGGCTGGGAGTTAGAGAAAAAGTGAGAGAGACAGAGGCGTTCCTAACCCCCAGTCATTCAGATCCAAGTTGAACAGATGCACATTCCTAGGACCCGCTAATGTGACAGGGCCCAGCATCTGGTGAAGGAGGGGAGCCTTCGGGGAGGACAGGCAGGCTGCCTGGAACAAAGGCACCCAGGGGGCTGTTTTGCCAGCAGAAAGGTTCTACCAGAAGATGCAGGGGCCAGCACCTAAGGACAGGGCTGGCTGGGCCACACAGGAGAGGAGAGGGAAGGAGGAGGGCTAGAGCTCAAGGCAAGAGGGCTGGAATAGGCCAGAGTTGAGTGGACCAGGCTGATGCACAGGAAGAGATAAATGTTATCAGACTTGTGAAACTCAAGATTGAGGAGCAAAGCACCTAGGCCTGGTGGTGGGGGAGGCGTTCAGAGGCTGAGGAGGCGGGTAAAGCCACCGATACCTCAGGCGCCTGAATCACGGTGCAGCGCATCGCTGGCAAGAATCTAAGCTCCTCTGTGCCAGACTCTCCCCAAGTATTTTCTTCCCAGAGAGTGGGCAGCACTGGGTCTCCAACACATTCCTCAGCAGGCCCGGGAGCTGGTGAAACTGCTGGTGCTCAGCCCCAGAATTTAGCTTGGAAAGTCTGACTCGGAGGGATGTGAGAATCAGCATGAATAAGAGGCAATGCTCAGGGATACAGAGCTGAGGTCCTCGGAGCCAGAGCTGAAAGGATGATGTGCCTGGGGGTTGGGGGTAGTGAGAACTTACAAGACTTCTCAGCTAAACTGGTGACGATGATTTTAAGGCAGATCATGAAGGGGGATGGGGCAAGATAGGGATTTTGGATAAACAAACCAAAAATATGCCACCGAGAATACTTTCTGTTTTATTTTGGAGTCATCGTTAGGAAGCTTTATGAGTTCACATCTGTTTTGGAAGAAGGGATACGCCATGCTTACAAGAGCTGCTCTGAAACCATGACTGTTGGA